GACGGCTCCAAGAGGGCCTCAGAAAGCCTGAGATGACTTCCAAGACGGCCCAAGACAGCCCAAGATGGCTCAACATGGCTCCCAATATGCTCCAAGATCGCTCCAAGTGGCCACGGAGCCTCCACCGGAGGCCGTCAAGAGGCCCAAATCCTTCAAACACCTGTGGGAAATCAATTAATTTCGCTCCCTCGCTTTTTTGCTTTCCATGGTCTTCCGAGGCCGCAATATGGCTCCAAGCTGGCCCAAGAAGGCCCCAAGAGAGGCCCAAGAGCGCCCCAAGACGGCCCCAAGAGCGCCCGAGAGCGCCCCAGGAGCGCTCGTAGAAGGGTCCAAGAGGCGATTCGTGGGGCTCCCGAGGGGGGGGGCGTCATTGAAGCTCACCCCTTCTTTGATCGATCTCCTCCAAGATGGCCCCAAGAGCGTTCCCGAAGCTTACAATAGCGCTTCAAGAGGGCCCCAAGAGGCGCCCAGGAGGCCCCCAAGGGGCGCCCAAGAGGCCCCAGGAGGCCCTACGAGGCACCCAAGACACTCCAAGAGGCCCCCGGGACCGCCAAGAGGCCCCCAAGACGCCCCAAGAAGCCCCCAAGCTCGCCATTGTCCTCCTCCTCCTCCTCCTCCTCCTCCTCCTCTTCCTCCTCTCCTCATCCGCCTATCTCTCCCCCTCCTCCTCCTCCTCCTCCTCCTCCTCCTCCTCCTCCTCCTCCTCCTCCTCCTCCTCCTCCTCCTCCTCCTCCTCCTCCTCCTCCTCCTCCACTTTCTCCTCCTCCCCCTCCTCCTCCGCCTCCTCCCCTCACTCATCCCCCTCGTCCTTCTTCCCCGCCTTTCCTTATTCGGCAGGTCCGCGAAGGCGCATACAGTTCGCTGCTAGGTCTGCGCAGGCTGATCCAAGACTTTAGTTTGACGGCTTCCCCAGCTCTTGATCCACTGCATGCTCCTCCGCTTCTCTGATCAAAGCAACTCGCCTGGGCATCGTTTGTGGATGGGCTGGATGGGATACGCGAAGCGTCAAGAGCTTGTGCGTTCACTGATCCGCACGAAACAAGCGTGGGGATAAGCAACTTGACGCGCCAGATCCGTTTCTGACGGGCCCGGGGCCCGAAAACGGCCCCTGGAGGCCGAACGATGCAACACGTACTCTCGAACCCAGCGCCTCGAACCTCCCCCTCCCTCCTGCTGGCCAGAACCAGTTCTGGGCCACCTCAGACCCCAAGCCGACTCCAAGTCTGGGCTTCGACCGACCTGCGCGTTCTCGCCGCACGACGCGCACCAGGACGCGCACGCCTGCCCCGGCGGGGCGGCGCCCCAGCGGGCCCTGGCCGGGCGCTGGTGGCGCAGGGCCTCGGCGTCGAACCTGGGCCGGCCCGGGGGGGCGAAGCGAAGGTCGCGGCCCAAAAAACAGCGCCTGCGCTGAGAAGGTTCTTCCCGTCTCGTGAGGAACTGGGCCCGGCTGCCGGTTCCGCCGCCTTGTATAGCCGTCGGTCGCCGCACCATTCTGGTCACGATTTTCTGGCCATCGCTCGGACGTCCATTTCCTGTGCTCTTTTCGGTTTCGTGCGTGGCTTTTTGCGCGAAATGATCAAGGATGTTCCTCGATGACCGCCGAGGGAAAATGCACACGTCCGAGCGATGCCAAATTTTGATTGTGCGAGGTTCGCAACTGGGACCGTGCGCCAGTCCGGCCGGCTTGTGGCCGCCCGTCGTCGCCTGTCGCCGTCGTCCGTCTCCCCGCGTCGTGGCAAGAACCACGGCGGACGATGCCTTGCCGCTCTGAGCCTCGCGGGAGCCCCACCCTGGGGCCGTCCAGAGACGGCCCCCATGTTGAGAACGCCGGTCCTAGGTCGGGCATGTCCCTCTCCAGGCGGATCTTGGACGCTATATAGAAGATACCCCCCAAATTATTCAAAAATGACAAAGAAAAATTGTCAAACAATCGTCCCCAGACTATCGAGAACGCCGGCGGCGCATCACTGGCCGCTCCCTGGGAGTTTGACGCAGCGTCTCGGGAGCCTCTTGGAGGCAATTTTGAAGCCGCTTCGGCTCCTCTTATGGGCCGTTTGGGGCCTCTTTGGGCTTCTTTTGGGCCTCTGTCTATTTTTGGATTAGTTTTTGAATCTTCCTCCTTTAGAGGGACAGGCCCGACTTAAAGCCAGTCCAGGTGGAGGGGTCGAGAAGGTCGCGAACAAAATAGGGGGAAAACAAACCTACCTCGCTTTTGACCACCCTCGCTTTCAAGAGATACCAAGCGATGCCAAACTACGGCCTGTACTGGTCAGGCCGCTTGACGAGGAGGCGCGTGGTATGACTTGGTTTTGTCTGGAAGCGAAAGCGGGGTAGGTAGTTCACGCTCTGACAAAAAGCGCGACGTCGGAGGCCTGGGATCGGCAGTGTCTCCACGCCCCTGCTCGCCCACTCAGACCTCGGGCCGCAGCGTTATATCGCAGGGACGTACGGGGCCCAAATGTATGCTTAGGTCGGGCCTGTCCCCCTACAGGGGGATTTTGGACGAAAAATAAGAAGTACTCAACAAATACTCAAAAGATGCCCCAACATATTCAAAACATAGTCCTCAGACTATTCTTTGACTATTTTTGAATATACCCCCTGTAGCGGGACAGGCCCGACTTAAATGTATACTCTGCCACCACCTCCTTCACCCCCTCCCTCTCCCAGGAACGAAGAGAGACAGATGCTGTGGGGAGGGTGGAGGAGGAACCGACGTGGTGGTGGTGCATATCCTTGGGGCCCGCAGGGCGTCCCAGTCCCGCGAGGGGCCACGTGCGGGACATGGAGAAGCACCGGGCCCATCGAGGCCAGGCTCTGGTACCCATGCCTCGACTCCTGGCGCCCAGCACAGGAGGCGGCAGCAGGGGCATGGACCACGCGTCGATCGCAGGCTTCGGCAGAACGGCAACGGGTCATTGAAAAGATACCCATGTGCTTCGCCGCTTTCGGACCCCAGGGGCCCTCCACGGGCCTCGGGGCTGTCAAACAACAACTCAGGATTCGTAACTACGTTGCCATGCGGAGCAGTTGAAGTAGGTTCTGGGACCCGTTCCCCTCGAGACCCTTCTCCTTCACGGCAGACGTTGCGAGGACCCTCGCCGCCGCGGGCCACATTCCCCCGCGAGCTTCTGCTCAGGGCGCACCCCCTGGAGGGCCCCGGAGCCCCGGGAGGCCAGAGGGGTTCTGCCGGGCGGTGCTTCCCGGACCCCTCCCCGGGCCCCCGACGCCGTACTTGATCCACGCCTGGGACTCTCGCGAGAGTCTCGGCCCCCTTCCCCCAGGGGCTGGCTCTCCTCCTCCCGAGCCGTGCCTGGGCGGCCCCGAGGGGCGCCCGGAGGCTGCGGCGAGGAGCTCCTGCTCCGCGCGCCGCGGCGGCGGCCCCCCGACCCGGCAACGCCTTGCAGGCTGACGGCGTGCTGCTCTGCACCTGCTCCGCGGGGCGGCAGGCCGGAGCAGAGCTCGGCACGTCGTTGCTCCGCTCAGCGTGCCGCGCCGGGGCGTGGTGAGCCAGAGCCCGCGGCGCGACGGACGACAAGCAGAGGCGCCCCCTCCGGCCGCAAGAAGGGCCCGAGCGCTCCCGCTGTGGTGCTTCAGGGCCGCGGCGGGGCTATGGAGGCACAGCGCGGAACCGAGTGGGGCGGCGAGCGAAGGGGGGAAGTGGGAAGGAGAAGGCCTTCTCAGAAGGCGGCGGCGGGGCTCCTCAGAAGCCCTCGCGCCTTCAGAGGTTTTGTTCTATTTTCGGGGAAGGCTTGGAAAACTTCTCAGGAGGCCGGGGGACTTCCGAGACTTCTCAGAAGGCCCGCCCCTTCTCACTTCCCCCCCTCGCTCGCGGCCGACAAATGCTACGCCAGAATCTCTGGGAATGGTGAAGAAGCTGACGCCGCTTCGTCCACGACGCCAGGTCTGAGCCCAGTTGGCCCTTGGGGGGGTGAGGGGGGGACCTTTTGCAGGGGACGGGCTCAGGGGAGGACGCGTCGAGCTGGACACGGCGGTACGTCGCCGATAGATCGGCGATGGGCCCCCTGCAGCGAATCCGCGCGCTCCTTGGCGGGGTGGGCCCCTCTCGGCGACGACTTGGCGATCGGGGGTCGATGCTTGACGCCGCCTTGCTGGCTTTCGGGTCCTAACGCGGCTCCCCGGCGGCCGCTCGGGACGATCTGGGCACTTCCGGCACGCTCTCGGCGAGGCGCAGCTGCCAGCACGCGCCTGGAGGCTTGGAAACCGCTGGGAACCAGCGAAACCGTCCGAGAGCCTCGGACCTCGAAGCCCTCGATCTTCAGGGGCCCATCTTCGAAGCCCTCGAAGCCTCGAAGGCAGCCTCGATCTTCGAGGCCTCCCGGATGGGGTCCGAACAGATGTGGTCGGAAGACCGCGCCGCGTCGTCGGTGCACTGGCGGCGTCGACGTGGAACAGATCGGGCTCCTCATCAGAGCCGCATATCCCCGATGCGTCGGCGATGCGTCGCGATCCTCCGACCCCATCCGGCCGCCCCCTGGCGTTGCCACCGCCCGAAGCGCCCAGACCCCCCGACGCCATGGCTTTTTGAGTGTTCTGGGGGTGGGAAAGGGGTGTGGTGTAAAGGGGTGTGGTGCCAATGCTGGATCTGGCGAGGTTATGAATCGTCGATAGCAGCATCGCCATTTCCACGATTGGCACCACACCCCTGTATGCCACACCCCTTTCCGACCTCCAGAATCATGTCGACCCCCCGAGGCCTCAAGTCTCGACCCATTCCCCGGGACCGGTCTTTCATCCTGAGTCGCCTTTTTTGACGGCCCCGAGGCCCGGGAAGGGCCCCCCGAGGCCGAAAGTCATGCAAACCCTGCCGTCGTGATCTTCTTCACTGCTCGAAGGGGTCTAAGGAAGGGGGGGGGGAGCTCGGCCCGCCGCGGGGCCTCGACGGCGGGAGCCACTGGTTGCAGCCGCCGCAGAAGTGGTGCTGGCAGTCGCGGCAGGAGCCCCCGTCCGCGGCCAGCGCGGCCCGGGAGAACGCGGAC